TTTATTTGTTTGTTTGTTTGTTTATATGTGTACTGTGGCTTGAACTCAGGGCCTTGTACTCTCACTGTCTTTTTACTGGCTAACCAGTGATAAGACTCTCACATACTTTTCTGCCTGGATTGTCTTTGAACTTCCATCCTCAAATCCTGGGCTTTTGAGTTGCTAGTTGTACAATAGAGAGCCTCCAGTATCTAGCCAAAGAGCTTACTTTAAACAGAATGATAAACATAATACCCTCAACTTTATTCTCCCTTGATGGATGACTTGTTTATATGTACATACATACACACATATGTGGATATGGTTTTGCAGTACTGGAGATCAAACCCAGGGCTTCATGCAAGGTAGGAAAGCAATTTACCACGAAGCTCTATCTCTAGCTTTTTGACTTGTTTATATTTTTTATTCCAAAAATAAAATTGGTTTAGAAATTTTTTATGTACATTTATAATTTAGAAAAACAGTTTGGTCCCAGTGGCATTATATAGTGCCTTAAGGTAACTTGTTCATATATCATCATATATAATTTTTTAATATCAGGAGCTCTAGCTCCCTTATTCTTTCATGTGGCCAAATAAAGGTATCCTGTGAATGTGCTATGAGCTATTTGAGCTGTTTACTCTCAATGAACAATTAGATATTGTTCTGACAGTTCCTTGTATTAGTGTAATGCATATTTCTCATGAAGTATTGTAGTCCATTGTCTGTGCAGGGGAACTGATTTTAAGTTCGACTTAAATTTTGAATCCCACAACATTGTATGACAATAATTCTATGTAATATAAAATTATGTGGCTGAGGCTAGAACCTTGCCAAAGGTCACATTCAGAAAATGTCAGTATAAAAGCAAAGATTATCAACAGATGAGTGATTTCTATGAGGTCCACTGCCTTTTCCAGCTTCTAGATCAGCACTTCACCCTTTGGCTTCTTCTTCATCTTCACAGCCAGCAATGTAGCATCTCAGATCTCTCCCTCTGACTCTCTGGCATCAAGACAGTCTCTCTGTTGCTGTCCTTCCATTGTCTTCTTTGAAGGGCTTTTTTTTTTTTTTTTTTGCAACCTGCCTATCAGAACTCTTGTGATTGCATTGGGTCCCCAGGCTATCCCATCTCAAGGTCCCTTTTGCCTCCCAAGGTCATGGTTTCCCAGGTACAGGGAGTTAAGGTATAGACATCTTTGGGAGCCATTATTTTGGTGCAGTTTAAAATGCAAGAAAAACCTGTGTGTTGATGGGGCAGTCATCTGGATTCCTGAGCAGTACATTGTTTTGAAATCTTGGCCCTTGCCTTAGTACAATTGTTCTATCCTCTTCTTGAAATCTCTGCCTGTGCACCAGCTTTAGCCGTGGATTTTCTTAGTGATTCATCTGGTATATTAGGCACCTCATTTTGCTGGTACCAACTGAACTGGTTGACCAATAATCACTGTATTTTACTTTGGACATGTTGAGTAAAGAGCAAAATTATGTATCAATTCAGATCACACAATGAATAATTAATAATATCACAAAAAGTCTTCCATCAGACGTCTCTCTACTACGGGGCTGCTTCCTAAGTTTTACTGTCACATTTCTTCTATAAGTAAAAACACCTGAAAAAGACAGACAACTAATTTTTCCTAGAGAAGCACTGTTGTTGTTTTTTTTTATTTGTTTTGTTTTTCTCACCAAATCTGTTTTCCTACTTTTCAGTAGAGTCTTATATTTTGGGGGCTGGCCTGGAACATGATCATCCTACAAAGCCATGGAGCCAGGCACACACCACCATCCCTGGTTTGTTGAGATGGGAATCTCCAATTTTTTGTGTTGGTCTTGAACTGTGATCTTTCTGATCTGGGCCTCCCAAGAAGCTGGGATTACAGATGTGAGCTGCCATACTTGGCCAGTGTAGAGAATCTTAAATTACGAATTCCAACTTCCACTTATAATGTGGATATTTTAAAGCCTTTATGTTCACTCACTGTATTTATTTGGGGGTTTGTAAAAGAAGCTTTCCAAGTTATGTTTAATGATGTCTGAGTATTACTAGTCATATTTGGTCTTGTTAATTTCATAAATTATATTAAAGTATAATTATTCCTCATCAAAGAATTATACTAACGATTAAGTGCTAGCTGTGTTTAAGGTAGTTTATATGTATCATCTTTTATTTTTACAACAGCCAGTGAAGGTGTGATGATACCTCATTTTTCAGAGGAGAACACTGAGGCTCTGAGAAGTTGACTTCCCCCAGCCATATTGCTAGTATACATTGGAGCTGGATTTAGAACCAGATGTGTCTGACACTTTATACTACCATAGTGCTGTGTTCGTGGTGAGTTATGCTGGTACACATTAAAAACTATGTGAATTGTGTTTGATATAGATACAGAATTTCTATTTTTCTCTGTTAGGCGATTAGATTGGCCTCTGTCATATCCTTATAGCTTATGTATCTTGTTGGTAATCCTGTACGCAAGTGCTCAGTGGATAGATGGGTCAGTAGCAGTGTTGTTATTTTCTTCCTTCCTTCCTTCCTTCCTTCCTTCCTCCCTCCCTCCCTCCCTCCCTCCCTCCCTCCCTCCCTCCCTCTCTTTCTTCTTCTGTTTTGCCACTCTTCTACCTAGCAGAAGCCAGGACACTGGTGTTTGCTTCATCATGATTTTAGGAATAAAAGTGTACGCTTCTTCAGAGCCCACTGCCCTGGGCTAAGATCCCCAGCTTGGATTTCTCTCCCATGGTCTGAAGTTACATTGTAGTGAAGAATCTTGTGTCAGATTAACTTGAGGACCTCCTGACTAGTCAAGTTTTGAGTGGATGTTTCTAACATTTCCCAGACTAAAACTTAAAGTCTGTGCATACATTTGTCTTGTGAAAGATTCCTACAAAGTTTAGAGTGGAGAAGTGTTCCTTCCCCACCCTCCCCCCAATCTTAGGGAAAAGACGTTCAAAGGCTGTTACATAATTGAAATTGGCTTCTACATAAAGAAAGATGAACAAAAGCCAGATAAGTCCACTGAGTTGGTAATTAAAATATATCTGCAATACATGACTACTGATTCATTGGAATTGGTTTATATGAGGCTAAGACTTTGAGGTAAGCTAGAAATGAGGAAAATCAGTAATAAAAATGGGTGAAATGCAAGAGTTGTGGTTGTGATACCAATCTGGGACTGGGACTAACCAGTCCCAGATTAAATACCTGATATATAAAAAATGATTTTGAAAGGGAATATTGACTGCCTAGAATCTATCAAACACTGTCTCTTCCTATCTGGAGTATAGTGAGGATTTATTAAGTAATTGATGATTAACTGATTCAGTCTCCACAGTGTGTAAATGTTTTCCAACAAAACCATCTATTAATGTGTATAATAGCTTTTTGCATATGAGGATACATTGTTACTTGTCTGAGTAATACGTTATTAAAATTTTCTCTTCATAGGTAATCCAGATGGGTTTCTTTTTTGTCACTTTAAAAATAGTTCTTCCTGTTTGTTACACAGGGGAATGATTTTTTTTTTTTTAAATAAGACTTTTAGAAAAGTTCAAGTGATTGCATGTTTGGGCACAAATTCTTCATTTCTTTCATAAAACTAATTTTGTTGAATTTTCTATAAAAAGTGCAACTATTAAACATTCCTGCAATAGCTCTTTTGTGAATGTGTCAGTGTTCTTGATTTGCACACGCCTTATAATTTCAGCTTTCTTTTGTTCGAGGTTGGCAGAGCCAACTGTTAGAGCTCTTGTCTGATGATGTGGAACTCCATTTTAATAGGAGCAGCTTCTCCGCTGGATTTTCAAAAAAAAAATGATCTTGGAAGCTTCTTACTGTGGATCTTTGTTGGGGACAAAGGATTATTTATGCTAAAGGAAAATGTATTCCCCAATGAATTAGCTCGTGGGAAGCATAACAAGCTCATTAGTAATGCTCACTTGTATTTTGGCCTTTTGCTGTGGTCGAAGGAAGAGAAAATGACATCCAAAGGGATGTTCTGTTGTCTTTTGCCTTCCTGCAAAGAAAATGTGGTTCAGTAATAGGCTCTTCTGTTGGGTTTAGCTCAGGCTCAACTCTGGCACAAGAGGAAATATTCCTGAAAGACAAGTGGTATGTATAGGTGGCACTGGCATGAGATGGGTCTGATCTAGCTTAGAGGAGGAAGAACTTTTCCTCGGAAGCTGATAGCATTTTAGCCTTATAAATGGTACCTGTAACTTTTTTTCTTGGAATGTCTTAGTAATAGTTTCCAATGAAAATAGACTTACTTATTATTGTACAATCAATCATCAATAATCTCAGTATTTTAAAACTTTTCACTTATTTTCCTCCTGAAAGCATGTTAAATCATTACACTAATCTAACTTTAGCTATTAAAGTGTTTTTCTCTGTGAAGACTTTATAAATGGTGCTTTGGAACTAAAATCGCTGTTCCCTTTGTTTTTGTGTCTTAAAATTATTATAAGAAGGCACTGAGTATTTTTGTTTCACAGTTTATTGATAGTTATCTGTATTATCTTGTGGTATAACAGAATAAAATTGTGGTTTGTCTTGTGTGTTTGTACAAAGTCCATATGTCCTTTTATGATCTTTATGAAGATGAGATAAAAATGCTTGAATTTCAGTATGAGTTTTGTGTGCTATTTATTTCACTTTATTTTTGCACCATGTTACAGAGGAAAAGAAGAATCAAGGAGACTTTCATATGAAACAAGCTTTGTTGTTAATTCTAGTTTACTGGCCAGATGCTTCAAGGATTACTTTGATACTAGTGCCAGAAACAATGTATTACAGTATGGTTCAGACTTTCCTCTTTCAAGTGAGCAGTTCCCTTATAAAGTAAGAAGTAAGGAATCATTATTGAGTTCTTCTCTAATCAGACTATTCCAGCTAGCGGAGAAAGTTTTAGGTTTATGAAAACAGTAGAGCACTTTCCTGAATTGTGAAACATGGGGGTTTGAGGGCCAGGAAAGCTGACATTGTCTACAATATTAATGTTTTGTTCCATTTTCAGAGTAGCAGTTTCATTCAGTATATATGACCATGCAGCCTGCAATTCAAGTAAGTAGTTTTCTTGGAATACATACATGAGCACATGTGCGTGTACACACACACGTACGCACACACACACATAAACATACCTCTTGGAATGTGTATATATGTATAAACGTGTATAAATTATGAATTAATATAATCAAATTAATAAAAGGTAAAATTTACCATGATATGTTTCTGTGACACTTGCTTTTCTAACATCTCATTTTAATTACAAGAATACTATATTGTGATTTTGTGGTTTCAAAGAGATTTAAATTCTAAGATTTTATTTCTATTATTTGAAAGAATAAAAAAAAATCTTAAAAGATATCATTGGGAAAAGAAGCAGAGTATTTTTGTGTGTTTTTCCTTGCTATAATTTAGTATATATTTAAAAATATAAATTTTTAGTTATGTGTACATATGCTTTATAAATGACTGTGTTTAACATACAAAAAGGTGTTAAAACATGACATTTTGGAGACTGTTTTTTGTTTATTTTTTTTGGAGGTGAGCTGGGGGGTAATGAGACATGCCAGAATAATCTTGAGTGATTTCCAGAGTTGGTATTTGCTGTACTGTTTTGCTGTCCTTTTTATTTCTTTCCTTTGGTATACATAGAACTTCTCCCATTACCTCCCCTGATTTTTCTGTTCCATTCTGTTCTTAATAAGAAAGAAGGAGTACAAAGGGATGGTTGATGATGGAGGCAGTGTATAGCGAATGAACATTTGTTGAATGAATGAATGCATAAATAGCATTTGTAAACTTTCAATCATTATTACAATGTTACCTTTAAAAAAATAGTTCTAAACATTTGATTTAAAATAAAGAGGTGGAAAACTACAGTCCATGAAGCAAAGTTAGTCTGCCATGTGATTTCATATGGCTCCAAGCTAAACATGGGTTTCACACTGTAAAATGATTGTTATCTAAGTAACCCATACAACAGTCTCAGTTTTGCTTATTGGCTCACAAAGCCTAAAATATCAGGGTTTCACTTACATCGATTGAGGTATTGAAAATTGAAAACATTTCAAGTATCGAGACTCAGTGTTATTCTCATTTATGTATTTTCTTTGAGATGTTGTAGGTTTGTATTCATGTATATTGCATATGATTTATATTTCATCATTTAAATATGGACTGTGGTGATATTTAACAGAGGTTACCTTCTTTCACTTGTTGCTGTTCTTTCTAGGTATGGTTTGGGGAGGATCTGCCTCTGAGTCCACGGAGTCCTCTGACTCCCAGACATGGACCAGGATTGGCTGATGTTTGTCAGTATGATGAATGGATAGCTGTGAGGCATGAAGCCACTCTGTTGCCTATGCAAGAGGATCTGTCTATTTGGTTATCTGGTCTGCTAGGTGAGGCTTGCAAATAAACTCACAATTACCAATAAACATTTCTTGAAAGCCTTACTTTTTGTTGAGGAATTTTTGTTCTAGATGCCAGGCATAGTAGTGTAGTGAAATATTAATGGTCCTAGTTCTCATCAAGCTTACATTCTGTGTAGTTGGAGAAATCTCTGATTTCCTTGAATCTTGGATCTTAAATTGTAGGAGATTTGATATTTAACTGCCTTGGCTGATAGCTTTAAGTGATCAACAGATTTGTTAATATTGAAGCCTTTTTTGAAAAAGAATTCTAAGATGTCTGTTTTATTATTTTAATTTTTATTTTGTTTGTTTGTTTTTACTGATTACCACCGTCCCTGTCCCTCCTGGATAAACCACAAGATCCTGAGGATATAGACTGTAGTTAAAATGATTACTGTTTCTGAAATGTTGAGGAGTAGGTGCATATGATACCCAGAAAGAAATTTAGGGTTGGAAAGTGTTTGGTGTATTTATTACTCTAGAAAATATGATGGATCTCTGAATTTTTAAAAATTCACTTTAAATGTAGAACAGTAGTTGGTATTCCCTGGCCATTTGTTGAGGTATCTTAAATTGCAACAACATAAATTTTATGTGTTGAGACTCATTTTCCTGGTGCAAGCAGCATTAATAGACAGTGAATTTATTTTATCTAAGATAAAAATAAAATGAATGTCAGTTTTCTGAATTTTTTTCCTGTACATAACAGATACTTTTTGATCTTCGTTGTCTTCAATTTAACTTGACCTTTGTTTTAAGTATGTCTTTTAAGAGTGAACATTTAGAGTCTGATCTGATATTTGTTTAGTTTTCTAGCTGTAACATGATTGTGTTTTAATTCACTTTTCACCAATTTATTGGAATTCTAGAAGAATCTTAACTTTAATATTTGTTTTTAGATATTGAAATTAAAGCAGAAAGGTTATTGGAAGAATTGGATAATGGAGTACTGTTGTGCCAACTAATCAATGTTCTTCAAAATATGGTAAAATCATGCAACTCTGAAGAAGCAGAGGTTAGTAACAATGATGGTATATCTTGGCATAAATTAATTGGTCATATCTATCTCTTATCAGCTGGACAAGGCTGTAAATTTCCACCTCACAACTGGCTATGTGATTTTGAAAATTTTACTTTATCTTTTGGAGCATTAAGAGAAATGTTATTTGTAAAATAGAGATATTGACCTTTGCCTTATGTAATTTATGTGTTCATTGAGATTAAATGTAATAATGGCTAGGTGATATCTACTATGTATGTAGTATAGATCAGTGCATTGTGGGTATCCAATAGCTAGCTCTTTCTTTTTCTTTTTTGGTTGTGAGGCTTGACTGTGGGGCTGGGGCACTGTCTCTGAGCTTTTTCACTCAAGGCTTGTGCTCTACCACTTTATGCCATAGCACCACTTCTGGTTTTCTGGTGGTTACCTGGAGATAAGAGTCTCATGGATTTTCCTATCAGGGCAAGACCAGGTTTTCTTTATTTTTATCAAATGTTAATGTTTTCAAGAGTTTGGAGTCTGAGCATTCATACTATTAATGGAAACACAAATTAGTATCAACATTCTGGGGGCAGTGAGTGATATATACACACATGTATATACAAACATAGACATCATTTTTTTTTTTTTTGTCTTTTGTGGGGCTTGAACTCTGGGCATCGGTGCAGTCCCTCAGCTCTTCAGCTCAAGGCTAGTGCTCTTCCACTTGAGCACAGCATCACTTCCGGTTTTCTAGTAATTCTTGGAAATTAGAGTCTCACAGACTTTCCTGCCTGGACTGGCTTTGAACTGTGATTCTCAGCTCTCAGTCTCCTGTGTAGCTAGGATTACAGGTGTGAACCACCGGCACCTGGCTATAGATCTGTCTCTTTTTTTTGGGGGGGGGGTTCAATCGTGGGGCCTGAGCTTCTGGGCCTGGCGCTGTCCCTCAGCTCTTCAGCTCAAGGCTAGCGCTCTACCACTTGAGCCACAGTACCACTTCCGGCTTTTTTCTTTTTGCTTATGTGGTGCTGAGGAATCGAACCCAGGGCCCCATGCATGCAAGGCAAGCGCTCTACCACTGAGCCACCTTCCCAGCCCCTATACATCTGTCTTATTCTGAAATAAAGTATGTCCCTTTGATACATGAAATTCTCTACTTCTAGAAATATATAGTAAGAAATCACAAGTTAACAAAAATGATAGTATAAAAACTTAGGAACAAGTGGGACCCCAGTGGCTCACACCTGTAATCCTAGTTACTTAGGAAGCTGAGATCTGAGGATTATGGTTCAAAGCCAGCCAAGGCAGGAAAATCCATGAGACTCTTATCTCCAATTAACCACTCAAAAATCTGAAGTGGGGCTGTGGCTCAAAGTGGTAGAGTGCTCTCCTTTAACAAAAATGTTCAAGGAGAGCGCCCAGACCCTGAGTTCAAGCCCCACAACCGACAAAAACTAACAAAAACCCATTAGGAACACTCTAAATGTGCATCAGTATTTATCAATAGAGAAATTGTTAAAAAATTAATTATACTACCTAAACACATTGAAATATTATGTTTATTAGAAATAGTAGTTTACTTAAATTTGTTGTTTTCAACACTAAAAGATGCCTACAATCTATTGCTAAGTATACATGTGCATACCCACAAATCAAATTGTATGTTAGTATGTTTATGAGTCATTTCATGGGCACAGCTATGTATATAGCTATGCATAGAAATATCAAAATATTGGTGAGAAGATTTTGTTTGATATTGTTTGTATGTTGCTGCAATATTTGATTGTTGTTATTATGATCATATATGCTGTATTTAGTAATATATACACAGAAAAATCTCACAGGCTATTTTAGTCTTGGAAAACAATGGCAACAGGAAGGATATATGTGAATGTGGTAATAGTGGTTATCCCTTGGGAAAGAGGAACTGAAATGAGGCATAGAGACTCATGTACTATACTTACTGCACCAAAAAATTACTTTCATAAATTGTCTTTCTAAGTAAAATTTAAGCAAAACCTCTCTGCCCCAGCCTTGGGCAGATAGCAAAATAATTAGGTGTCAGATTCAAAGAACCTGAATCAAGAATGAGGAGCTACTTCTGTCTTTCACAGTCCCTTGTAGAACCTCAGGACTCTCTTTATAAAGAATGTGTATGTTAGGGAAGTAAGCAGAAATAAGTATGCTTGTTAACTTAAACATAGCAGTCATTTTGTGTTTGAATTAACTGCTAGAAGACAAAACCATAGAGATGTACTTTAGAGTTAGTAGGCTGTCATATTTAATTATAATTACGATTATTGTGTCATTTTTGGAAAGAAATTGATTAGAGAAGTATGATTGTACTACTCCTTTTGATCAGATTGTTCTCCTAAGACTCAGTTTCTGGAGTGTATTAAAGTGAAATAAAATCATTTTTGATGGTATCTTCTTTTTCCCCCTAAAGCTGTACACTGCTTTTTAGTTACATTTGATTCAGTGAACATTTACTTTGTAAAACTTAAATGAATACCAGAAACAAGATTCCTTGATGCATTTTTAAAAATCATCCTTCCATCTTCCCCAGGATTTTCCAATGGGAAAAGTACCTTGTAAGAAAGATGCTGCATCAGGTTCGTTCTTTGCCAGAGACAATACTGCCAACTTCCTTCACTGGTGTCGTCACATCGGGGTGGATGAGACTTACCTCTTTGAGTCTGAAGGCTTGGGTAAGTGTTGTTGCTGTCATTGTACTTACATTGTACATTTGTATTCCTGGCTTCTCATTTTTCTTTACAACTTAATGCCTCAGAATGTCATGTATCTTGGTTTCTTAGAAACATTCTTTAATCCTATGTGAAACAGTTGAGGAATCAGATAGTAAATCAAATACATTCGGCTTTTCATTTATGGTAAGATTTTATGTAATTAGAATGCTATAAAGGTATTTTATATGTTGAAAGAGTTGCCTGCTAAAAGGTTCTGGACAAATGCCTTACTAATTAATGTTTTCCCCAAGATTTACTCGACCAAGTCTGAATTACAAGTGATTTCTCATTAATCAGATCATTTCAGAAATAACAGAAAGCCAAATGAGGTTTACTTATAGTGTTTAGACTTATCTTGTAAACAACAGCTGCCAATTTGGGTATCAAAATTGATTGTTTTTGACAATTCATTTTAAAAGTCTTGCTTTACTGAAAAATTTGTTGACATATTTTCTCATTTCCTTCAAGTCAACAGAAACATCTGTATAATGACTAACATAGTAGCTAATTGGTTTATTTATCTAGAGAGTGTGTGTGTGTGTGTGTGTGTGTGTGTGTGTGTGTGTGTGTGTGTGTGTGTGTTCTGCGATGAGAGCAGTCACTTACAAGGGTGGGACCAGGGGTGGGACCAAGGGTGTCTGCCTTTACTGAGAGAAGTTGTGTCAGTGACTTTGTGGATTACTGCTGGCTTGTGATGATAACATAAAACAAACTGACTTTTGATTGGTTTGATTATAGTACTGACTTTTGATTGGTTTGATTATAGTTTCTTTAATCTGCACTGATGGTACACACCCTTATTGCCTGCTCTCTGGATAAACTGCCACCTGTTTGTTGTGTCTCCAGATAATCCTATCTAGTATAGTGTGGAATAAAGTGCCAGGCTTCTGTTTTTCCCTTCATATTGCACCTTGCTTTAAATCCAGATGTGCTGATCATTACTGATACAGTAGTTGATTTAAAGAAACATCCAGCTTCTAGGAGTCAATGGGAAGGGGAAATGCTTTGAAAGCTGTAGCTTCTAAGTTACTATTTCTGAAAAGATCTAAGATTGTTGTGAATATCTCTCATCAGTAAAATACATCTTGCAACTCTCCTAAAGGTTACTGTAACTACAGAAAGTATGGGAAATACCAATCATTTATTTCTAGACATTGAGCGGAAGAACTAGTACTTTTATTCTGTAAAGATCTTCTAAAGAAAGGCTTCTTTTTTTGTATCTTTATTGTAAAGATGACAAATGGGGTGGATGGAAAGGCAGGGGATAATTAGTTACATAAAGAAAGGGTTGTTATCCCGGTACCAGTGGCTCACGCCTGTAATCCTAGCTACTCAGGAGGGTGAGATCTGAGGATCACGGTTCAAAGCCAGCCCAGGCAGGAAACTCAGACTCTTTTCTCCAATAAACCACTAGAAAACAGGAAGTCTCGCTGTGGCTCAAGTGGTAGAGCGCTTGCCTTGAGCTGAAATGCTGAGGGATAGTGCCCAAGCCCAGAGTTCAAGCCCCACGACCGACAAAAAAAGGGGGGAGGGGTTCTTAGTATTTTTTACATTTTTCTAGAAACTCAAAGCAATTTTAAGAAACAAGTAGACTATCTTAAGATATTTCCAAGATCTTCACTGTACCAACCAGCCCATAAAGGTAAATTATTTAGCATGAGTTTTTTTTTATCATTAGTCCTTTTCTGTTCTTATAAACAGAATCTCTCATCTTTTTCCTTCTGTTATTTTTTATTGTGATTCTTTGAAGATCATTTTTACTTTTTATTGTAAAGTACTCCTAATGAGATTTATAATGTTAGCCATTTTAAATGCATTGGATTTTCTTTAAAAAAATTATAAAAAGATCAAGATATGCGTCACATAAAAATTCCTAATTTAAAAATGTACTGTATGGGGCGGGTAGTTGTGGAGCTGGGAGGGAAGGGATGGTAGGGGAAAAACAAAGGAGGAGGTAACAATGCTCAATAGGAAATGTACTCATTACCTTGCTCAAGTAACTGTAACCCCTCTGTACAGTATTTTTACAATAAAAAAGTACAAAAATATCCAGTATGGTGGATTGTAGCATACTAAGTATGTTGTACAATTATCAGCATTCTCTAATTCCAGAACATTCCTGTCGCTTTATAAATTTCATACCTCCTAACAGCCCCAGTGATTCTATTCTCAAAACTTAACAACCACCGTCTACTTTCTTTTGGGGGAATTTGCATATTCAGGACATTTCATAGAATAGAATGGTATAATAAGTGTTCCTGTGTGCCTGACTCCTTTCACCTGGCTTTTAGTAGCTCATTCATTTTATATTCTATAACAGCATTCTATTCCATTTTACGGCTGAATAACATGCTATTGTATAGATAAACTACGTTTTTTAATCCATTTATCAGATGATGGACATTTGGATGGTTTCTAGTTTTGACTATTAAAAATAATGCTGCTATGAATATTTCTGTGCAAGTATTTACGTGACTGCATGTTTTTAATTCTCTCAGGTACATACCTAGGAATGGAACTGCTGGGTCATATGATAGTTCTATGTTTATTGTTTTGAAGACCAAATAATTTCCCAGCCGCTGACCATTTTACATTCTCTCCAGCAATGCACAAGTGTTCCAGTTTCTTCATATCACTGTCTATACTCATTATTGTCAGTACTGTTTTTGTTTATTTTTCTTACAACCATCCTGGTGATATGAATTGGTATCATAGTGTGGGCTTGATTTGCATTTCTTTAATGACATTCAGCAGCATCTTTTCATGTGTGGCTACTTGTTTATCTTCTTTGAAGAAATAATTTTCTAAAACTTTTGCTTTTTAAAACAGTTATATCACTTATCATTGTTAATTGACTTGCAAGGGTTTTTGTATATTCTAGACATTTGGCCTTTATTATATTATTATTATTATTGGTGGTGGTAGTGATCATGGGGCTTGAACTCAGGGCATGAGGGCTGGCCGTGAGCTTCTTTGGTCAAGGCTAGTGCTCTACCACTTTGAGCCACAGTACCACTTCTGGTTTTCTGGTTGTTTAATTAGAGTCTCATAGACTTTCCTGCCTAGGCTGGCTTTGAACCATGATCCTCAAACCTCAACCTCCTGAGTAGCTAGGATTAGGCGTGAGCCACCAGTGCCTGGCTTTTAGATTGATTTGCAAACATTTTATTCGGTCCTTGTATTGTTTTTTCCTTTCTTGGTAGTATCAATTGCTGAATAAAACTTCAATTTTGAATGAGTAAATCTTAATTTATCTATTTTCTTTCTTTGCTGTGACTTTTCTCATCATCTATAAAAACTATTACCTCATCACAGTCATGTAGATGTTTACCTGTATTCTTACTAGAATTTTTGCAATTTCAGCTGTGAATATTAAAAGCTTTGGTCTAGTTTTACCTTGGTAGCTGGTGTGACACGGAGGTTCACACACATTCTTTGCATGTAGATGCCCATCTGCCCCATTGTCATTTGTTAAGAAAACTCTTTTCTTTGTCCATTGGATTGTCTTGTTGAAAACAATTGAACCTATTTTTGGACATTCCCTTCCAACCCATTGTTCTGTGCATCTATCTCTATGCCAATAGTACACTATTTGATTTTCGTAGCTTTCAATAGTTTTTGAAGTTGAGAAGTGTGAGTATGCCAAACATTTTTCCTTTTCGAGATTGGTTTTACTATTTTTTACCCATTGCAATTCCATATTAATTTTAGCATCACCTTATCCCTTCTAGAAGAAAAGGCTGTTGGAATTTTGATAAGGATCACATTGGAACTCTAGCTCAGTGTAGGGGAATGTTGTCGTTTGGACAATATTGTCTTCTAATTTATGGAATGGATGTCTATATAAGTACTTTTATTTCCTTTAATAATGTTTGATAGCTTTTGGTGTTATAAGCATTGTATCTTATTCTCTTTGATGTTATAAATAGAACCTTTAAAAAATTTCATTTTCACATTACTCATTTCTAATACATGTAACTAATTTTTGTGTGTTGCTGTTGTTGAAATTATTAAAGTTTCATGTATATGTTCTTTAGGGTTTTACATATGTAGTGTTTGAGTAAAGATAGTTTATCTTCATCTTTTCCAATCTGGATTCCTTTTGTTTTCCTTGTATAAATGCTTTATAGGGGACCCTCCAGTACACTGATCAATACAAGTGGTCAGAGAAGGAAGTGGTGCTGTAGCTCAAGTGGTAGAGCGCTCGCCTTGAGCTGAAGAGCTGAGGGACAGCGCCCAGGCCCAGAGTTCAGGCCCCACGACCGACAAAAAAAAAAAAACAAGTGGTCAGAGAAGATGTCCTTACCTTTATCTTTTCCTTGGAAAGAAAACTAATAAGTTATATATAATAAAGAATAATATTAGTAACAAGTTTTTCAAAGGTGTCTTTGTGTTGGATTGACACAATTAAATAGTTTGTTGAGTATTTTTTTAATCCTGAAAGGGTGTTATATTTTGTCTGATTCTTTTATGTTTTTCCCCTTTGTTCTATTAATGGTGTATTATTTGGGTTGAACTAACATTGCATTCTATTGTATAAGTCCTACTTGATCGTGATATATAAATCTTCCTATATGTTGCTAGATTGTGTTTGACAGTGTATGTCTCAAGGGTTTCTACTAGCAATGAGTACTGGCTTTTTGTTGTTGTTGGCATATGATGTTCTTCATGTGGCTTCTGGCTTCGGTGTCAGGGTAATGATAGCATCATAGAATAAGTTAGGAAGTGTTCCCTCCTGCTTTTGCCAAGTTCAAGGAAGATACTCGTACCTAGTCTGTGATTGTTTTGTGTAAAATTGATTGTATATCTCTTCTAGCAGTATTATCTATTGAAGTATGAAATAGAAATAAGTTAATGCTACCAAGCCCTTAGATTGTTAGGACCTAAAATGCTATACAAGTACCTAATGGTCAATCTTCATCCTCTTTGCTATCCAGTTTTGTTAAAAATTTACAAATGGATAACAATATGTAAAGACAAAAATGTATTTTCTAACCATGTAAGCTCATGCTGCAAGTATATTACTTAATATAATTCTGCTCTTTACAACATATCTCTCATTTTCTACAGTTTTACACAAAGATCCAAGGCAGGTGTATCTTTGTCTTCTTGAAATTGGTCGAATTGTGTCAAGGTATGTATTCCACAATATTTCAGGATTTCCATGTCAAAAACAATTATAAGGGTATTTAATTTTAGTTTGGAACGCTGTTTTTTATAAGTGAAAAATGGCTCTTTATTGAAATTTCCTTTCCAAGTTTCCTATTTTATCTGTGTGTGTTTTTTTTTTATTTTGTTCTGTTGCATGAACAGGTGTCAACAGTTGTTTTCTCCATATAACTTACCTTCACTTAATATTAAACATTAAATGGTTACTTAAGTTTTTCAAATTAGGGATAAAGGAAGAGCTGTAGTTCTAAGGCAGTTTTAGGCGAAGAAAGTCTTCCAAACACAAAGTGGCTCTCATAAGAAGGCAGGGCTCTGTTTACACCTGACTTGCTTCACCAACTTTTCTTATCAGGAAGGATACCAGGGTACCAGGAATGATATTGGAAACGTCTGTTATCTGTAAACATGCTATAATATGGTGATAAGAAATTGTGGCACTTAAAAGCATTTCCAGATGTCCCAGTAAAACATTGGTAGAAGAAAGTCAGGCAGACTTTGCTGTAAAAAATAAAATAGGGGTGTGGGTCAGTTTTACTTGAATGACCAGATTCCTGGTTTGTTTTCAGGTATGGGGTTGAGCCACCAGTATTAGTAAAACTTGAGAAAGAAATTGAATTAGAAGAAACCTTGCTTAATACCTCTGGGCCCGAAGAGTCCATCAGCATTCCAAAATCATGCTGTCATCATGAAGAACTACATGAAGCGGTAAGTAATTGCTACACTTTCGACTATGGTAGCTGAAATCCCATAGATTTTATGGTAATGATCCAAGCATAAACTGAGAGCATGGATTTAAGCAGTAGTAAAGAGGAATGAAGCAAAAAAACCCAAATATGGCCAGATGTAGGAAGTAGAAGTTATAGAAGTTAATAATGGATGTGTGAGGGAAAGGTTATATCTTAAGTTCATCAGATAAAACTGATACTTGGAGAATACAGGAGGAAGAAAACTTGTGAGGGGAGGAGTTGATGGAGTTTGTTTTATTAGAGAGTGGCAGAATATATACAGCTTTATCAGATGGTGGATCACAGCCTGAGGGTTTCTTATCTTTACCTGGTCATTGTGTAGAAATGAGTAAAATTACATTGATTAAGCTCTTAATCTTTTGCTGAAACTATAGTATAAGTGAATTGCTTACTGCTATTTATTGCTTACTATTTATTAAAAGCTTTATAGCACTTTCCAGAAGTGCTTAACATACAAATTACTTATAAGCATTTAAAAAGTGTTAACATGATTCATTGTTAGGGTCCTGTCAGGTAAACAACTAAAATTCTATATACTTACAAAATTTTTAAAGAAAGCAAAGACTAAAAGAAGTATCTTCTTCCACATTACTTTAGTTAACTAAGTATTACCATGGTGTTAGCAACTGTAAACTCTTTACCTGATTTCAGTTTACTTTTAGCCATCTTATATGTGTGTGTATAGATGTGTCTATACTATGCACCTATTTCCAGGCTGTGAACTAGACAAACTTCATTGAATGACTTGTGGAAATCAGACTAGTTGTTTATAAACACATTATATGTTGATTTGAACAATCTAGAAAAATAAACAAAACCTACACTTTTCTTCCCAGGCCCTGGAAAATCCACAATTGTCCATTAATTTTGGGTAGATAATTAAGGCAGTCAAATAACATACATTTGGTGTTCATCTAAATTGAGTGTATCTGAAGAAACTTTTTTAAACATCATGCATAAATTCAGCCAAATAAATTTGTTTAATTATACTCTGTGTGACAAGTAACTAAGAAAAATATTGATGATTGCATTTTCAAAACTACTTTTAGGGAAATTAAATACTTTCTATAGCGGCAAATATGTAAATAAGTTCCAGTCAAAGATACTTGCTATTGTTTCTAACATATTTATAAGGTGATTTTTTTGTTACTTTGTATGTCTCTCCCCCACAGTATAACCCCTGTTTTCACTGTATTTGATGTTGGTATAATTTGGGGAGGGGAATGGAAAAAAACTAATTGTTTCAGTAGGGATACATTGCAACAATGAAATATACAGATACTATGTAAAAAACTGAACTTTACAACTTTAGCTGGGGGGGGGTCTACTTAATGGAGAAGGGAGGGAAGGGATGGTAGGGGAAAAACAAAGGAGGGGGCAACAATGCTTGATAAGAAATGTACTCATTACCTTGCTCATGTACAGTTAAAAAAAGAAGATACTTTAATATAAGTATATATTCATTTAATCAATGCATTTTATTTTCTGTATTTGAAATATAGAATTAATGAATTTTTCTATTTACTGTAGTTTTACCAGTTTAAGTTGTTGTTTATCCAATAAAAAAATTCATGAGGGCGCTGGTGGCTCACGCCTGTAATCCTAGCTACTCAGGAGGCTGAGATCTGAGGATCGCGGTTCAAAGCCAGCCCGGGCAAGAGAGACTGTGAGACTCCTATCTCCAATAAACCGCCAGAAAACCGGAAGTGGCGCTGTAGCTCAAGTGGTAGAGCGCTCGCCTTGAGCTGAAGAGCTGAGGGACAGCGCCCAAGCCCAGAGTTCAAGCCCCATGACCGACCAAAAACAAACAAAAAAAAAACAAAAAAATTCATGAGGTTTGGAAATAGGGTTTCCCCTTTCTCCCATATATTTTATAGACTTTTTAGGAGCAGACTCTTTACTATTTTTAGAAAAATGTCTTTGAACTGAAAACTTTAAGAATTTTATTTGATTATGGATGAATTGATAGGAACATGGATTTGTCTATGCATGTGGTATATCCAGGAACTCAGGCTATTGAGATGTTACTTAGCTTTCTTGCTCATGATTGGTGCTTTAGCCTTAGAGCCACACCTCTAGTCAGGCATTTTGCTAGTTAATTGAAGACAGAATCTCATTTTTTTTTCTGCATGGGCTTCCTTTGAACCACAATTCTCCAGCTCTCTACCATCTGAGAAGCTATGATTAGAGGCATGAGCCACTAACACCAGCTTTGTGTCTGCCTTTTTAGAAACTGTGACACTGAACAAATCTCAGTATATTTTTCACCCCTAATATTGGTATAGCACTGTGTGAAGGGAAAGTGAAAATTCCTACTTGGCCTTTTCCTGATTGCCATCTTTGATTTTGACACATATATATTCAGGCTTAAGTCAAACTTAATAACGATCTCATGTTTCCTGAAACATGTATTTTGAAATACCTTCACTGTCCTACATATTTACAGACTTTTGCCAATGGTTTGATTTCAAAATTGATTTTTACCTGGACAGATTGAGAGAGTGACCTAGATTCCATCACTCAGTGTTGTTAGTTTTAGCACCATATGATCCAGTATTGGAACAAGAAAAGAATTCTTGAATAGTTAAACCACCTTTGAATTTTTATCTTGGAGATTTATTTCCTTGTCAATTACCATTTCCTTGTGTCACCGAACACAATTTCTAGCAGTCACGAGCTTTTGTTCTCTTTTTTTAATTTGAGGTTAAACACATTGCTGAAGACCCGCCCTGCAGCTGTTCTCACCGTTTTTCTATTGAGTACTTATCTGAAGGACGGTACCGACTAGGGGATAAAATTCTTTTTATTCGGGTAAGTCTGCTATTTACAGTCTATATAAACACAGATTTTGTTACGGAATTAGGCTTGTTGCTTTCCCTACTACATTTTTTTTACCTTTTATTTTCTAAAGAAATTGAACTAGAGGATGCCATTAATTGGATTTTCCTAGGTAGGAAGAATAGGTGATTTCATGAGTATGTAGAGTTTAATATACGCTAAACATGTAGAAGTTTAACATCAGCTATTTCAGGGTCAGCTAAGGTTCTTTAGATGTTGAACATAATGGGGGAAAGCAAGTTCATACACCTCAGGTAATTTACTCCATTTTTCAGATTTTTCTTAAAAAACTAGTTTTCCATCATCACCATAAAAAGAAACAAAGTGAAACTTCTGATAAGATCAATAACCATAGTATGAAAATAAAACAGAAAAACTACTGTTTATAACATACATATACACACACACATCTGCATGTGGACACACACACACATATATGCTGTTGTACTATTCTCATCCCTATGCAACTCAAAGAAAAATACCCACATGGGGTTTCTCTTAGTTGTTTTTAAGGCAGTATGACATAGTGATGGTATACAGAAGTCATTTATCAGCTCAGTAGACTAAACTTGGGCTGTATTGGATTAAGCAAACCATGTCTAAACCTACAAAAGTGCCATTGGATTCAGGCCAACCTATTGCATTTGGGAGCCCAGGCCCAAATTCCTTAATTTCTCAGGACAATAGTTTTTCTATCTGCGGGGAAGAATAAATAAATTATATCAGTTTTAATGCATAGGAAAAGTTATTAAATTATAAAGTACTAATTGAATTGTTTTTATTTCTTAACTTTTTTCCTTTGAAGCATTTTAAAATTTATTTTTAATATTTTTATTATTTGCATCTTTTATTATATATTTCATATATTTTTATTTTATGTCTTTATTATCTTTAGGTAGTTGTACAAAGATGGTTTCAATTCAACATGTCATTTTTATGTGGACAATGCACTTTGATCAGTGTCACCCCTTCCATTGTTCTCCCCCATCTCTTCTAACCCCATATTTGAGGCTTTTTCTTTTGGTTGATCATGAGGCTTGAACTCTGGGCCTGGGCACTGTCCCTCAGCAATTCAGCTCAAGGCTTTACCACTTGAGCCACAGCACCACTTCTGGTTTTCTTATGGTTTATTGGAGATAAGAGTCTCATGGACTTTCCTGCCCCAGGCTGGCTTTGAACTGTGATCCTCAGATCTCAGCCTCCTGAGTAGCTAGGATTATAGGTGCCAGCCACTAGCACCCGGTTATTTGAGGGTTTTTTTTTTTTTTTTGGTCTCAGTTTCTCTTTCTAATATAGCAATTAAAAGAGGTTGTTTTTTGTTTTGTTTGTTTGTCAGTCATGGGGCTTGAACTCAGTGCCTGGGCAATGTCTCTGAGCTTTAATATTCAAGGCTAGCACTCTAACACTTTAAACCACAACTTCACTTCTGGTTTTCTGGTGGTTAACTGGAGATAAGAGTCTCACAGACTTTCTTGCCTGGGTTGGCTTCAAACTGTGATGCTCAATTCTCAGCTTCCTGATATAACAGGTATGAGCCACTGGTACCCAGCTCTCTTGTAGTTTGTTTAAATTAATAATTTGGAAATTTAGGATATGTGATAGGCCACAGATACTTTACACGTGTGATTGCTACCAGGCTACAACTATAAATGTCACTGTTTTGTCACTTTCTTTTTTATAGGCCATAGATACTTTACACATGTGATTGCTACCATGTTACAACTATAAACATCACTATTTTATCACTTTCTTGCTTCTTTTCTTTTGGGGGTAGATGCTTCATGGAAAACATGTCATGGTCCGCGTTGGTGGAGGCTGGGATACTCTGCAAGGATTTTTGCTCAAATATGATCCCTGCCGAATATTACAGTTTGCTACACTGGAACAAAAAATTTTAGCGTTTCAAAAAGGAGTTTCCAATGATACTGTCCCTGATTCAAGTGCCAGAACACCTCCGCCTCCTGAAATGAACCCTCTGTCAGCAGTTAACACATTTCAGAAGCAAAATTTAAAACCAGGCATGCCACTCGGTACTCCAAAGAACAAGGAAAAGCAGGCGCATCAGCCGGGTGTAGCCCAGTCTGTATCTTCTGTAAAAGGTAATCCAAGTTCTCTATCCGTCCGTCCTAAATTTCCGGCTTCTCCAGCAGCCTCTTCACATCTCAAGCTCAAGTCTTCCAGGGGCCTAACAAAGAAACCCCATCCATCCTCTGGCAGTGTGTCCTCTTCCCTTGCTCCTTTAAATCCACTAGGTCAAAGCACTTCACCAGCTCTATCTCGCTCGGCACCTTGTGCATCTGAATCTTTGAGAAAATGTGTCACCTTCTCCAACACTCCCAAGGCCAAGACTACTCTAGCCCAGAAGTCAGGAGGTCCGCCCAAGTCTATACTTTTACCAAGTAAATGCTCTGGAAGAACAGAACCAGGGAACTTGAAGCACAATCATATTTCTTCCAAAGATGAGGCACCTACAAATTCATCATCAAAGTGTCCAAAGCTACCTAAAGCAAATATGCATGTAAGACCGAACCCTTCTCCTTCTTTTCAGTCCCCTGCAAAAATGACAAAATCCAGTTCCAAAACCACAGCTGTGGGTGTAGGAATACAGTCTCCGCCATCTAATGGAACCCCCCGGGCAGGGGTGATCCCAGGACAGAAGATAAAATCAGCCTTACGCTCAGATCATCCAGTTTCTGTGTCCTCACTTTCTTCTGCAAAAGTAACGCAAAAATCAAATGATAAGAGTACAGTTTCAGTTGCCAAAAAGCATCCACAGAGTAAAAGCGCTCACCAGAAGACAGACCTGAGTTCCTCAAAGTCTCCCAGCCGAACTCCCCTGTCCATTGTGAGTGTTCCCCAGTCTGCTGCCCAAATGCAAACTGCAGCCAAGTCAGCACAGACAGCCAGTAAGGGCCAGTGTTCAGCTAGAAGGCCTCCAATAAGTGGCAAGGCCCCAGCTCCATCCAGGAAACCACCCTCATCTCTTAGGGGAGCAGACAGTGGAGAGAAAAAACCAACTGCAAAGAAAAAGGAAGATGATGACCACTATTTTGTTATGACAGGAAGTAAGAAACCAAGAAAATAAATACATGTGTTGTTTTAGCAAATTGGGAAGAGAGAGAATGAATGTGGTAGCTTTACAACTTTAAAGTTTCTCCTATTTGCATTTGCTTTGGTGCAGACATTAAGCCCCAGATGGGAGATGGAGGCTGGGGATGAATGTAGAAGCTGGAATGAAGAGAGGGTTCACACAAGGTTATTGTTATTAATAGACAAATACCTGATGTCCAATCCATAGCATTTTTGAACCTGTCTACCCTTTAAGGGAAATGTAAAAGTCCAGTAACACTACTGAGTAATTACTATGGTTAAAATATTTTTGCATAGATGTTGAATATGGAGGCTTTTATATATATTATATGTAATATATAATATATTTACTAATAAGCAGTAATGGTGCTTTTTAAACATTGGTTACTGAATTTTAGTCAGAAAACTATGGTTTGGTCAGGCATGGTGGTGCATGCCTGTAATCCTAGTATGCATGAGGTTAAGGCAGGAGGACTGAGAATTTGACAGCAACTTGGGCTGCTGCACTACAAGATCCTTTATTAAGAAAACAAAAAAAAGGCAGTGGTTTATGCCTATAACCCTAACTATATAGGAGGCTAAGATCTGAGGATCACAGTTTGAAGTCAGCTCAGGCAATAAAGTCCCTGAGACACTTACACAGGCAAGCTGCAAACAGAGTTGTGGCTCAAGTGGTAAAGCTCCAACCTTGAGTGAAAAAAAGTTAAGGGACAATGTGTAGGCCCTGAATTCAAGTCACAGTACCAGCACAAAACAAAACCCAAAAGGAACCTAAATAAGACCAAAAAAGAAAACAAAAAAGCTCAAAAAACAAAACCGGCTTGGCCAGTGCCTTACAGAAGGTACCTAAATTAGCTTCCTGATCAAGATCTTCTGGTCTGACAGCAGTAAGTGCTGATAACTTGGATGATTAGTTTGGCATTATTCTGGGTTGGGTAAACATCCCTGATATTTAAATGTTTTTAAATTTCCCAATTCAAAAGGAAGCATTTTTTTAACCTTTGCTTCTATTTACACTGGTAATATTTTGTTACTATTGTTTTTGGTGGAAAAACAACCAGAAAAAATTTAACTTTCTAAAATATACACTGAAATGTAAAAATAAAAAGATTTTTTTCAAATATCTATAAAAATATAGACACTTTATATTTTTAGATGTATGCTATGCCATGCAGCAGGGGAAAGAAGTTTGGTAGCTTTTTGCAAACTTCAATATTCTAATGTAACTTTGTGATAGTATTTTTACATTAAACAATGTTTTAATAAACATAAGAGGATAGTAAAAGAATCTTAGCGTGATACTGTATGAAAATCCTGTCAGGTGACAGTTGTGCTGGTTTTCCTGAGTAAAGCCACGCTGTCTGGAGTCCTTGGTGGTCAGTGCATAGCACTTGTGCAGAGTCTTCTGTCCTGCAGCAAGATCTCAAGAATGAGTGGAGTTCATGTGATGGCCATTGTCTACCTGTCTGCAGCAGCACTTGTAAATCACTAATTTAAGGAACTGTATTTAAAAACAGCAGACTTGGAGAGTTGTAGGGTGTTTTTACTTTATAGTATGATCATTTATATCAAGTTTTAATTGACTATTAAAGATTTCTCTATTAGTTTGAAACACAAGTATATTTCTTGCTTCCCTTCCTCCTTCCCTTCTTGTCTCCCTTCTGCCTTCCCTCCCACTCTCCTCATTTCTTCTTTTTTTTTTTTTTTTTTTTGGTGAGGAAAGGTGACAGGAAAATAGGGAATTAAATTCAGGCCCTTATGCAGTCTAAGTAAGAGTCTCTAAAATCTGTTATGGGGCTGAGAATGTGGCTTAGTGGTAGAGGGCTTGCCTAACACGCATCAAGCCCTGGGTTTGATTCTTTCCTCAGTAACACATAAACAGAAAAAGTGGAAGTGGCTCTGTGGCTCAAGTGGTAGATTGCTAACCTTGAGCAAAAGAACCTCAGGGACAGTGCCCAGTCCCTGAGTTCAAGCCCCAGGACTGGCAAAAAACAAAAACCATCTGAGTTCTAAAATCTGTTATTGCTTTGAAAATATATTATTGTATTGTTATATTCATATTTATCTACTGACTCCATTTGAACCCAAACTAGTGTTTTTTTCAGCGCCTGCAGTATTTTTATCCAATTTTAACTTATATTTCCTCATTAAACATAAAACAAAGTCTCAGTTTTCTTTTTTGAGTGTATTCTGAATGAATTCTATTCACTTGATTGATGTGGGAAGTTGCAAATGTATTTATAATTTGAGAACGTATATAGTTCTTTTGCTGTTTAAAATGTACTTTTAAGTTACTGCTCCAAGATGATGAGGTGATGCTATTAAATAACAGTATTTCATCCCTAAATGGCTGCATCTGCTTGAAGTTTGTTCCAGAGATATGTTTTAAGATAATAGAACCGATCAATTATTAAAGTCAAATTTTAGTTCCACCTATTCAGGATGTAGAGATAGGGGGATCATGGTTCGAGGCCAGTTCAGCAAAAAAGTTACTGAGATGCTATCTCAACAAATAAGCTGGGCATGGTGATACAGATCTGTATCCCAGTTACTCCAGCAAATCCCTGAAGTCACCTGAGCAAAAGATGTGAGACTCTATCCAAAAAAAAAAAAAAGCAACTAAAACCACAAGGTCTGCAGTTGTGGTAGGTATAGAGTGGTCTAGTAAGGCAAGGTCCTGAGTTCAAACCCCAGTACTGCAAAAAAGAAGTTAAATTTTACTGGTTACATGATCATTTTGCTCAGAAAGCTACTGACAATAGGAATTTCAAAGTTTCTAATTTCACACTTCGTTGCATTCTGAATATTATTGAAATAATATAATAATAACCAGAGCAATTTATAAAAAGTTAAGTCAATATACAATCCCTGTAATGTTCCAAGAAGAAAACAGAAAAACATCACCTAGACAGAATTTTATTATGTTTTCTTAACTTTTTGTGATGGTAAACTTTTAAAGCAAATTCCTTTTAGTAAAATTTTACAGGTTAAGAAAGTGCTTTTTGAGCTGGATGCTGGTGGCTCACACCTGTAATCCTAGCTACTCAAGAGGCTGAGATTGAAGATCACGGTTCAAAGCCAACTACGGCAGGAATATCTATGAAACTTTTATCTCCAGTAAATTACAAAAAAAAAAACAAAAGTGGAAGCCAGGTACCTGTGGCTCACGCCTGTAATCCTAGCTACTCAGGAGGCTGAGATCTGAGGTTCGCGGTTCAAAGCCAGCCTGGGCAGGAAAGTCCGTGAAACTCTTATCTCCAATAAACCACCAGAAAAACGGAAGTGATGCTGTTGCTCAAGTGGTAGAGTGCTAGCCTTGAGCTGAAGACCTGAGGGACAGCACTCAGGCCCAGAGTTCAAGCCCCATGACTGACAAAAAAACAAAAACCCCAAAAGTGCATCTGTGGCTTACGAGGTAGAGTACTAGTCTTAAGCAAAAGAACCTTGAGATCAGTATCCAAACCCTGTGTTCAAGCTCCAGGACTGGCAAAATTTTAAAAAGATGATTAAATTAAGCTATTTTGTAATAAATATACTTTTTTCCTTTAGAAAAGCAGACTTGATCTTGAAGAAATGTCTTCAATGATTTGACCATAAGGATTTTAATCATAGCATATTATTAATATTGGTATAACCATAAAATAACAATATAGTCATTAAAAATGATTCAAGTACAACATATGATAATGAGGTGACTAGAGACTGTAGTGAAAAAGAACAGTACTGTTTGTTAGTTTCTTATATTCGGCCAGGAATAGCACAGAACCATTTACAGGTATGTGATTAACCCCTTGTAGCCAATCTTTTAGGCTCATGGTATTGAAATAGTCTGTCTCTTAAATTCCTTAAAGTATTTCACATAATGTATAAGAATGAACTAAAGGAAGTCAAGTCTGGCAGTGTGGAAACACTGCATGTACCTTAATCAGTTAATACCTGCCAAGGGTGGAAAATCCTGAGAAAGACTGAGGAATGCCCCTGTCATGTTCAAGAACCTGGGCTTCATGTGACGCTTTTGCAAGTCACAAAATACTTATATCATCTGATCTTCCCAAAAATTCTGTATGAGAATTGAATTCTATTATCTTCCCTTGGCCTATCAGCACCATGAAATGTGGAATTAAAGCTGTTCAGAATGTTTACTATTATGTTCCCAAGGCCAGAGCAACGTCTCACACATAATAGGTATTTAATAACTGAATTGTTCATGTATAAGTAAGTAAACTCAGTTTTACAGAAAAAACTAAAGCTCAAGAAAGGTAACAGATAATGAGTAAACACAAAAATACCTACTGGGTGGGGCTGGAAAGGTGGCTGAGTGGTAGAGCACTTGCCTTGCATGCCTGAGGCCCTGGGTTCGATTCCTCAGCACCACATAAGCAAAAAGAAAAAAGCGGGAAATGACACTGTGGCTCAAGTGGTAGAGCACTAGCCTTGAACTGAAGAGCTGAGTGACAGCACCCAGGCCCTGAATTCAGGCCCCACAACCAGACTCCCCCCGCCCCCCCACAAAAAAAACCTACTGGGATTGATTCAAATTAATTTTTTTGTTTTTTATTTTCTGCCAGTCCTGGGGCTTGAACTCAGGTCCTGGGCTCTGTCACTGAGCTTCTTTTGCTCAGGGCTAGCATTCTACCCCTTTAGCCACAGCACCACTTCAGGCTTTTTCTGTGTATGTGATACTGAAGAATTGAACCCAGGGCTTCATGCAGGCTAGGCAAGCACTCTACCACTAAGCCACATTCCCAGCCCCTCAAATTTACTTAAAGGATAATTTTAACCCACTTGTATTTTACCATAAATTGTTTCTTTTTGTATAAATATGATTCAGATAAATAAGGTTTATGTTCCATCTTTGAAAACAAAAATCTGCTCTTCATTATTTCTACTTTTGTATTATTTCTGAGAGAAATCTTGATTTGTTTTTGAGTTATCAAATACTGCATATGTGAAGATTTAGAGATTATTGCATGCTTGTTTTTGGCTTAATTAGTA